CGCCCCGGGCCACCCGCCCCGGGCCGTAGGGGCCCCACCCTGCTGGGCACGGGCGACTGCCGGCCGGGGGCGCACAGAGCAGCCGTCGCGGGGCCTGGCCGCGGCCTTCAGCGCCCCAGTGCCGGGGAATGCAGTGGTCCCAGACCCCTGGCGCCTCTCCGTGTCTGGGCTGGGCCTCTTCGCTCGCCTGTTCCGCGACCACGACGCTCCTGAGCCGCGCCGGCCAGGCCCCCCTCATGGCGGCCAAGTGGTTCAAAGAGTTCCCCCTGAACCTGAAGACCGTGTCGGAGCGGGCCAAGCCCGGGGGCGGCGTCGGCGGCAAACTGCGCAAGAACTCGGAGGCGGCCGGCGGGGCGCTCACTGCGGGCAAGGGCCGCAAGAACTCGGCGGCTGAGCTGGGAAGCGGTAGGGCCGGGGTTGGCCCCCTCAAGGACAGCCGGCTGTCCCGGGACAGCCTGCAGGGTCTGATTCAGGCTGCCGCAGGCAAGGGCCGCAAGAACTCCCGGGCCACCGAGGAGGACCCCCACCGGGGCGCGGCCAAGAGCTCGGGCTGCAGCACCTACATCAACAGGCTCATCAAGGTGGACACTCAGGAGAAGAATGGAAAGAGCAACTACTCCAGCAGCAGCAGCAGCGGCGGCAGTAGCAGCAGCAGCAGCAGCTCTTCCTCCGCGTCCTCTTCCCCTTCCTCCCTGGGCCCTGAGCTGGACAAGGGCAAGGTTATTAAGCAGCAAGACACGGTAAGAATAAGCCCCCTTTGGACCACCTCTCCGTGGGAGGGGAGCATAGTGACCCTGCTAAATCCTGGGCTTCTTTCTACCTAAGAAGCAAGGATGTGTTTCCTAAGGGCCTTCCCTCCTCTGCCGTTTGGTGACTCCTAAGTGACCATTTAAAGTCATTACACTTTTTTTTTTAATCTTGAAAAATTCTCATTCCAGGAATGGGGAAATTTGCGGAAATACACTACCCATTTAATTTTGCTAGCAGTTTAGAAGAGGAATGAGATATTCCTGCTTTGTTAAATTTGACCCCTTGAATGTGGTTTATCTTAGTTTTGACATAAAGGGGAATTGCAAAGCTAGACGTGGGAATGTCTTTATCCTTTTTGAACATAACCTCTAGACTGTGTGAGTATGGATTTCAAAGCTTCAGGAAAGGAAGGGCCATCCCCCTTTTCTGCTGGTTTGGAAGTTCTGCCATTCTCTGCAGTTGGACCTAGTAAAGGTCTTCTCAGAGCTTCAACAACACTCCGTGATTACAGCCTTTTCATTCATCCCGTGGACGTTGTTGTGCAGCAGCCATATAGGATTAGGGGCATGAGCGCCACAGGCTGTGGGGGATACAGAATATGACAAGGAAATGCCTTTAAGGAAATTACAGATCAGGAGAGAAGGTAGAAAAAAAGAAAAAAAACAAAAAGGAGAGACGAAGGTGTTCCCTGCTTCTTACACACTGGAGGTTTGCTGGGTGCTGGGTGCTGTCCAATGTGGGAAAGTTAAGAAAAGCAGTATGAACATGGAGAGGAACTCTCCATTCTTACAGAGAGGAGTTGGTTTGGTTTCGTTTCGTTTAGTTGGTTTTTTTGTTTGTTTGTTTTTTTCCTTTTTGTCTTTTTTTCGTGACCGGTAACGGGATCGCAGCCCTCGGTGTCGCGCCCGCACCGCCCTCAACCAGTGAGCGGACAGGTCTCTATATGGGATCCGAACCCTCAGCGGGAGCGCCATCGCGCTCCCAAGCGCCGCACTCTACCGAGTGTGCCACCGGGCTGGCCCACGTTTAGTTGTTTTTAATCCACACTCCTGTGTGAAAGGAGAAGAGAGAGGAGTTCATATCGAGATTTCAGACTCTAGTCCAGGCAATCACTTCCTGGCATTTAATTTTCTCTTGCCCAGGCTTCAAACATGCTGCCCACCTGGATGGAGTCAGAAGCCCACAGCATATAGCATGTAAGCCTGCATTGGGCACTTCTGTTCATTCCTCCATTTATTCTTTCCACAAATATTTACAGCATGTCTATGCTCTGCCAGGCACTGAGCAGAGAGCCGTGGAAAGACGGCTGAGGTCCATATGTTACTCAGTGGTCTACCTGCCTGTTCGACTAGATTGTAAGCACCTTGAACCCTAGGACAGACCATTGTGTCTTATGATTCTTGCTGCAGTTTGTGACTGCAGTGCACATGGTGGGGTAGTCCAGAAGAATGGGTTAAGTGAGTGGTAATCACAGTCCTCTGCAGTAGTGGCCCGGTTAATGTCATGGTTGTCACTTCTGGATGTCTGAGCTTTCTTAGGCCATCTCCTCTCTAAAAGAGGACTCATCCAGACTATTCTCTCCTCTTCATTTCACCCTCATTTATCTGAGTTCTTCCTGCTGGCTCCAGTGATACTTCTCCGTGAACTCTTTGGAGAATATAATTGAGATTGTGGAGCAGGGCCCAGAGCTTCCTTTCTGAGAAGGTAACACTAACCTCCAGCGTTGACACCCAGCTGCTGCAGAACAGAACTATTACACACACCCCACATCTCCAGTTACCTTCTGTTTTTGGAAAAATATGAGGGCATTTCAAAAAGTTTGTGGAATAGTAATGTTAAAAGAAATTAAGAATCTTTCCATGAACTTTTTGAAGTATCCTCATAAATGCTTTCTGACACAAATACCAATCAAAAATGTGATCTGTTGTCTTTGAAAATCAGTTTGCCTGTGAATTACTGAACCTAGAGCTCCTGCAATACTATCTCGTACTGACCTGTTACTCCTTTTTGAAGCCTGTCTCTTCAGAGCTTCATATAAATTTCTTGAGGACAGGAAGCAGGCCTTGGATTTACTTTGACTCCCTTGCGGTGCCTCACCAGTACTAGTGGGTGACTGACTCACTATGACTGTATTGCTCAGCTGATTGGAGTTTAAACGATCTAAATCATGGGGTATGTGGTAGACCACTTCATCTTTTTATGCTCTAAAGCCACAGACACACTCCATGTCCCACCATCCTCCCTGCCACCCACTAACTCAGCAAATGTTTTATTGCTTGGGGAAAGAAAGGGAGGTGGAAAGAGCACTGGGGATGAGTAAAAGGGTTGAGATGAATTGTAAATGAATTATACTACCAAAAAAAAAAAAAAGAAAATGTTTGTCCATCTGGGACACATGATCACTTACAAAAGCTATCCAGAATTGGTTAGTGATTTTGACCTCTCTTCAGATCTGCAGATTTCAGTAGCCATTTTGATACTACTGCCATTTGGTATTTGATAATCCTTAGCAACTGTCCTCTCTTGTTCTCTTATAGGTCATCATTTTAGAAGACTATGCTGACCCTTATGATGCCAAACGGACAAAGGGTCAAAGAGATGCAGAGAGAGTAGGAGAGAACGACGGTTACATGGAACCGTACGATGCACAGCAGATGATAACAGGTTTGTAACTAGGTTCTGCTTGATAGGGACCGAAATCCCATACTCACGTGGAGTGAGTAAAGTAGTAACCAGTGTATATTTGAGAAAGAGGGATAAAGCAATTTAACCAAATCCTGCTGAATGGAAGAAACAGAACTTAGACCTAAAACTAAGGGTAAAATATCTGGTTAACTTCTTTTATGGTAGTATCCTTCAGAGTTTCAGAATTTGCAGGGGTCTTTAAAGTTTTTCTAATCCTATGCAAGGTGACACTTATGAGTTTGCAGATCTGCTCACAATGTGATCTCAGTTTGAAGATTATTTATGTACATTTTTTGGCTACTTTCAGAAGCTTTGACATCCATAGTGGGAGTCATAAATCTGTGCAAAGGAACAAATACATACTTAAGGGATTTTAAGTTGCTGAGAGATACGAACATGACATGATACTCAGTATTGTTGTAGAAGATTTTCTCACCAAGTTCTACAACATTGGAGCAAAAAATTTAATTACTAAATAATAATTAGCGATCACTTTCATGAGCCAAGCCATAGGAGGCAGACCACCTAAAACCAAACCCAACTAATCTTATAACTTTTTAAGTGGGAACAGTTCCAATTTGTGAACTAAGCAATCACTCTGCTATTTTTGGTGTCAAACTTTTCTCTTTTATTCATAGGTCTCTTAAGTTGGTATAAACAATACTTAAATAAAAATAATATAAACTAGTTATTTAGATTTATTTGTGAATTTTAAAGTAAATTATTTATTCACCTAATTTGCCTTAAACATTCTTCCATCCACAATGAAAAATTATAGTTTCTGAGTGCTGATTCAAGGAATCTTTGTTTGAGTGTCATGGGTTTCATGCCTGGGAAAGGAGTAATTGGTCACACATTAAAGACTCTGTCTCTTCTGTTTAAAACAGATTGAAAAGTTGTCAAGCTCAGGCTCCATAAGCATGGTCTCAGAAGAGTTGAGCATAAGCTAGCAGCAGCACACTGGAAGGGCCAAGACAGGCTTCAGAATGAAAGTGAGCTGCACAGGAAAGCTCGGCTCTGTTTCCTGCTTCTCTGCTTACAGAGATAAGGCATCGCATTTGGGGAGGGTGTACCCTGGCCAGGCTGTGACCCTCAAGGTCACTGGACTGTGACCTCTAATGAAATCTGTGAATGAAAGGAAGTGAAAACGGACTTAGTCAGAATTTTAAAAAATAGTAGACACTTGAAAGGAATAGGGAAAAGGATTTACTTTTACATAAGATTGAGAAAAAAGATTTTCTAAAAAAAAAGTTAATGCTTAATTTTGATGTACCTTTCTTTGTCCTTTTGTTTTTATTCTTCTCTTCTCTTTAACTGGAGTAGGTAGTTTATCTATACCACACCAGCTATTTATTTGCAGAACCACACTGATTATAGGGAAAGTGCTGTGCTTATTAAAAATGAATACAGTTAGGTTTTTTCCCATGTAATCTCTGCAAGAGCTCTGTAAGCCAGGAGACTGCAATACTATCCCCCTTGTTAGGACAGGGCAAAAAAAAAAAGATGAAAGGGATTCAGACTTGCCTATGTTCACAAGACATTTTAAGAGACAGAGCAGGAATAAGAACCCAGATCTCTCATTTCAGATTGATCTGCTCCTGATACCACATGGCACTGAGGACACACTGGATATGATGTTTGTAAAAGCACTAAACTTTACCCATAAGTAAGGCATCTCTCTTCTCACACTTATCAACAACATTGTATCCAAAAGTAAAAATCATCAAACATGAAATAAATATAATAATAGTAATAGCTGGCGTTTAATATTTGAGTGTTTATTAAGCTCCAGATTTTGTTTTGCTCTTGTGGCTGGCAAGTATGGGGATCCGAACCCGTGACCTTGGTGATATAAGGTTGTGTTCTAACCAACTGAGCTAACTGCCAGCCCCTCCAGGTTTTGTTTTAAACAGTTTATGTGAATGAATTCACTTAAGCATACAGAAGTAATGTATTCAATTGGTGAGTAAATTCAAATTTATTAAAATCTACATATACCTTGCTCTTAACTTTAAAAAAATATTAGTGTATTTTAAATTTTCTTCATTTAAAATAGGGCATCACAAAACACCTTCTCAATCAGTGTAGAAAATATACCTCTAATTCTACCCATAAGTTACACAGCTGGACAGAATAACAGGAAGTGAGTTTATCGGAAGCTGGAAATAAAAGATTTGCTGCTGGGTTTGTTTTTTTATTTTTTTATACCTTTTACTTTTTTTTTCAATTTGCTCATGTTTGCTTGGTTGTCAAGTCCAAGTATGGAAATTTCCCATATTTCTTGAGAAATGCTAGGGCTATTTTTTAGTGTGTTCCAGCATTGCTGCAGGAGATGGAGAGGGTGCTAATAAACATGATTAAACTGTGCCGAAGTCAAATCTGTATTGCCCACCTCTGTGTTGCCTTTTTTCTATCTGTGAAGTGGGAATTACATGCCTGGTTTTAACAATATCTTGGGCATATAGAATACTATCCATGATGTGGGCCGGCCTGTGGCTCACTCGGGAGAGTGCGGTGCTGGTAACACCAAGGCCACAGGTTCAGATCCCTATATAAGGATGGCTGATTAGCTCACTTGGGAGAGCATGGTGCTGACAACACCAAGTCAAGAGTTAAGATCCCTTCACTGGTCATCTTTATATAGGGATTTTTTTCAAAAAAAAAAGAATACTATCCATGATGTTATTTTATAATATCCAACAAATATTTCTTAGGCATTTATTTGCCATGTACAAGGCTCTGTGCTGGGCTCTGGGCATACATGAAACAAGACCCACATAACCCCTGCCCTTGGACCTCACAACCAAATGGAGAAACAGACCTAACACCAGTAAAGAAGAAAATAAGTCATTGAAGAGTGCGATAGTGCTATGAAGTAGAGAATAAGAATCAATATCTGCATCAGGGAACAGAGGATAAAACAGAAGTTAAGAGGAATTCATGACTTTCCTATGGCCAAATAACTGTGGGACCCCATGCTCCGTGGATCCCCCCAAGACTTTGCACTTAACTTTTAAAAGTTAAGAGTTAGATTATCCAGAATAAGAAAAACAAAAAGAAAAAAAAAAGAATTACATTATCCAAAGGATTCTTTCTAAAAAGGTATGACTATGGAGCTGGCTGGTTGGCTCAGTTGGTTATAATAAGGTACTGATAATACCAAGGTCCAGGGTTTGACCCCTGTGCTGGCAGCTGCCAAAAAAATAAAGCTCTGACTATGAATACAAGGCAATATTAGCCTAAACCTCTGTTGTTTTTCTGCCAAGTTAGCAAGAACATATTGGGTGTTTTGTTTGTTTGTTGGCAGCTTGTTTGTTGGTACAGGGATGCAAACCCTTGACCTTGGTGTTACAAGGCTGTGCTCTAACCACCTGAGCTCACCGGCCAGCCCAGCAAGAACATTTTAGGTAAATAATTAGCAGAAATATTCTACATAATTTAGCATTATAAGTTTTAGCCACCAAATTGAAACTTTAGCATTGATGGATCTTTAAAAGTTCCCTAAGACAGCCATTTGTTAGCATGAGAATTTTTTCCATAGTTAGTATCATACAGCTACAAGTTGAGGGCTTAGTAGGTGCTCAGACTTGCCAAATTACCTCACTAAATCCTACAACATTACTGTAAAGTGGTTTTTGTTATACAGTTGAGGAAACCTAAATTCAGAAAGATTAAATAACCTGTCCATATTACACAGCTGAAAAGTGGAGATACCAGGTCATTTGGCAATCTTTGGTTTTAGCTATTGAGCTCAGTCAAAGATTGTTCTTAAAATTTTATTTTTGCCTCCAAATGGTTTTGTTGATTTGTTTAAATAGTCAAATCTAAAGGACAACCTCATTGTTTGGGTCTTCATTAAAAAAACTATTATGAAAAAATTACAAATGAAGACTGTTTTTGATTTATTTAATTTGTCTCTATTTTCCTTGTTAAATTTCAGGGTTTCTGAATTATACCTGCTTCTGTTCAGATATTTGGGTTTATTCAATAAGAAAATATTTAAGTAAATTTAAATAAAAAACTTGAGCACTGATAAAAGATGTAAGTAAAAAAGTTGCCTAACAGCCCTGTTTCTGATTCTAAAAGGAAAGTAAAGCCTTATGAGGCTCTAAGTTTAATGTTCTGGAAACATGAAATAGATTAGGGGGAAAGGCGTGTTATTTAGAAACTGTAATCAATATTTTACATGAAATCTTTTGATTAAGTGGTAGAGAAAGCATGGGCTCTGGAGTTAGTAATAAATGGTTCCCCCACTAATTACTGCATGACTATGGCCTCAGTTTATCCATCTGTGAAAATGGGATAACACATCTGTCACTGCATTATGAGGCTTCAGTGAGATGCTGGGGATAATGTGCCCAGCATACTCAATAAATACAGCTCTTATTTAGACACTGCAAAGAGAACTGCATTTTAAAAGAATTCTGGACGATGTAATGCAATATTAATTGCTAGCTGCAATTAATTTGGTGAAAGAAAGTCTTAGTTGTTTGCTCCCTTTTTAAATGTGAATGGCATAATTATGTGCAAAGAGAGTTGGGGATTGAGAAGGGACAATTTTCGGCCCCTGTTATGTTTCACACCAACCAGTTGCACATTTGAATTGGTGCATGTCAGCCCTCAGTTCCAGCCCTGGCTGCAAACGAGTGTTTATCTGCTGCCCGTCCACACTGTTCTGTTGTCTGTCATGGTAAATGGCCTCTATCGGCAGCCAGGGTGTAGCTTCCTCTTGCCATTTCCTCCTTCTCAGGCTCGTTTCCTCTTGGAGTCAACTCTGCACGTCAGGGTCTATTCTCCCTGCAGGAAGGGTCGACTTGCAGCCCCACGATTGTTTCTGTTTCTATGGCGCCTCAGGTTGGGGGCAGCCAGGTGTTGGAATGGACTGGAAGGTTATTCCCCTTGGGGAGTAGGGGGTCTGTGCTCAAGCCCTTTTTTCCCCTAATTAAACATTGTTTCAAAAGATGATAATACTTTGCTGATTTTGCCCATCTCAGGACCATGCAAGGAGGGAACATTCTCAGCTGTATGCTTTCCAGTGTGTCTCCCAGAGCTCTAAGTGTACACAGACTGTCTAAAATAGCAGGAATACATGGACCTCATCATAAAAGTAAAAACTCAGACACACGTGTCATAAGAACTCAAGATTCTAATCACTGTACCTCATTTTAATTCAAATGTATTGAAATTTCCTTGTGAGCAAGACTCCTATATATTTTTTTTTTTTGTCTTTTTTCGTGACTGGTAAGAGGATCGCAACCCTTGGTGTGGTGTCGCCTGCACCGCGCTCAGCCAGCGAGCGCACCGGCCATCCCTATATAGGATCCGAACCCGCGGCGGGAGCGTCGCTGCACTCCCAGCGCTGCACTCTCCCGAGTGCGCCACGGGGTCGGCTCAAGACTCCTATATTAAAGTTAGGGGTTCCCCCAGCCTGTGCCAGATGGTCTAAACTGAAGGTAAACTTAAGTTTTAATTAGAAACCTAATAATTCTAAATTCATTCTTTGAATTCCTTTGTGTTTTCTGTTTTCTTAGTTCTTTAGAAAAGTTCTTTTAATTCTAGTCTTATCTTAATTGAACCAAGAACAGAGTATGTTTTTGTTTGTTGTTTTTCATAGCTCCATCTAGAATAGGCAATGAAGAAAACTGTAGGATTGAAAGTCAAGAGACTTGGACAGGAGCTGCAGCTCTGACCTCAGACAACCCTGGGTGCCTGGCCTGGGGGCGAGGGCAGGGGACGAGTCTTCTGGCCCTCACATTCTGATGTGAAGATTTTAGATCCAGGTAGTGCCCTTCTCCTTGGGCTGGGGCTAGCAATGAGAGATTAGCTCTGGACAGCAGGAGGAACTGCGGTGGTGATTGTGGGGATCCAGGAGGTGTGGAAGCAGCTCTCAGGCTTAGCTGCTCATTAGAATCACTTGGGAACTTTTTATAATCTGACTCCCAGACTGTAGCCCAGACCAATTAAATCAGAACTTCTGGTGGTGGGACCAGGCAGCAATATTTGTTATAGCGCCCCCAGGTGATTCCAAGGAGCCATTACTGCATAGAAGTTGGAGACAGCTGCAGACAGGGGCCCTTTCCAGCAGAACTATAACCATATAAACAAACATTGTGCTTCTTTGAATTTAGTGTCTTGATTTTAATAACTTTTCCCTCATTTGTTGTCCTTTCCTTGTTATAGAAGTCTTACAGAGTCAATGATTCCTCTCCACAGAGTGTCACCATGCCTGTTTTTAAGTTACAGATAGAAAGTCTTTTCATCCTTTGTTTCCTCTTCTGCGTCTTCTGAGCCTCTTCCTGCTTACCTGACCACTCCTTCTCAGCCTTCATCATTGGCACCTCTTCTTCCAGCCACCCTTAGCTGAAGGAGTCCCAGGTTCTGCCTTTGATCCTCTTTCCTTTTCAGTCTACCCTCCTCTTCTTTCATGATGGCTTTCATTCTCACAGCATTAACAATGATCTATTTGTGAGTAACTCCTTGACATGCACCTCCAGATCCACATTGTCACCTGCCTGGAGAAGTTCTAGAGCTCCTTCCCCTCCATTTTTCCTCCCATCCATCCATCCACCCAATCATTACTTAGAACAGCTGTGTGTCCTACAAAGATAAGACATGGTGGTCCCTGCCCTGGGTGTCTCTGCCAAGTTGCAAATACAACCACATCAACAGATAAGTCCACGCAGTGGGAGAAGTGCACGGTAAGAGTGGTTTGGCACAGCCATAGCCCCTGATCGCTCTGTGGGGCATTGGAAGAGAGAGTGGGCAGGAAAGGCTTTTCCAAGGAAGGGGAGATGCTGAGTTAGATTTCAAAGGATTGGAAGATCACCAGGACACTGATGGGCATAAGACAGTGTAGTCACCCACCCATCTCCATCCCCAAACCAAGGAAGTACAGGCCAAAGTACAAAAACATCAGTATTGTTTTAAGGTTGATAGAAAAAAAGTTAATCCCTTTTTAAATACAAGAGACAAGGGCCGGCCTGTGGCTCACTTGGAAGAGTGCGGTGCTGATAACACCAAGGCCACGGGTTTGGATCCTATATAGGGATGGCCGGTTAGCTCACTGGCTGAGCGTGGTGCTGACAATACCAAGTCAAGGGTTAAGATCCCCTTACCGGTCATCTTTTAAAAAAAATTTTTTTTAATTAAATACAAGATACATTAGTTATTCTCTCTTTCTTTTTTAAGTCTATTACACAGGGAACTTCAGAAGTTCCATTTGGTCAGAGCAAAGATTTAGGGATGGCCGGTTAGCTCACTGGCTGAGCGTGGTGCTGACAATACCAAGTCAAGGGTTAAGATCCCCTTACCGGTCATCTTTTAAAAAAAATTTTTTTTAATTAAATACAAGATACATTAGTTATTCTCTCTTTCTTTTTTAAGTGTATTACACAGGGAACTTCAGAAGTTCCATTTGGTCAGAGCAAAGATTTGTATTATGGGGGGGGTATAGAAAGAAGAAATTGGAGAGGGAGACAGTGATCTGATCGTAGAAAGCCCTCGATGCCGTACTGAGGAGTTTGCACTCTATAAGTATACAGTTGAGAGCTTATGAGATGTTTGCATTTAGAAAGGTCCTCCTCAACTGCGATCAGGTGGAGGACAGATTGAAGGCTTCCTGATGGGCCTTTAGAAGAACTATATGATGCTTCTGTTGGTCCGTATCGCCTGCTGTGGTTGTCCAGACCCTAGTCATCTCTAACTCTACCTGGCAAGGCCCCTAGACACTTCTGGTTCCTTCCCACTGTGGCTGGCTAGCTGGTTAGTTGGTGGTTGGTTGGTTTGTATCAGGTTTTTCCCATCCATTTCCATGCCTCAGTTCGTACTATAGCTTTCTGACTTACTCCATCCTGAACACTGTGGTTAAAGTTATCTTCCAGTGAAACACAAATATAATTGTTATACCCTGTTTAAAAACTCATAATAGTTCTGCATTACATAGAAAACAATCTAAACTTTTTGCTCTTGCTTTTAAAACTTCTACCCTTTGGTGCCTGGCTTGCCTACTTCTCCAGCTGCTTCTCATACTACATCTCTCCTCTCTGGCATTCTGTCCTTTAAACTTATCTCTGAACTCCCCCTTATGGGAACAAGCCCTTTATAGTTCCCACCTCCGTATCTTCACTTATGCAAGCTTCCTCCACTGGAAATGACCTTCTCTATCAAAGTCAACTCATCTTCCATTTCTCTTCCACTTGGAATCAATCCAAGTGTAGTGGCTGAGAGGATGACTTCTAGAGTCCAACTTCCTGCTTTTGAATCCAGGCTTTGCCACTTATTGGTTTGGACAATTTCCTTAAACTCTGTGCTTCAGTTTTCTCTTCTGTAATGTTGGGGAAATCATAGTATCCAGCTCATAGAATGGTTGTGAAAATCACAACACACTTAGAATAGTGTTTAACACATGGTAAGCCAGTGATAAATGTTAGCTGTTGAGTTATTGTTGTCTTCCTCCAACACCTCTTTTACTTTGACTTTTCTTATGGTTATTAGCCTGATGGATATTATTTGTGAATGTGTCTGGCTTCCCCACTTTATTGACACTGCCTGGAAGTCAAAAACTCTGACTAGTGAATATAAATATCTTCCCTCGGCATACATGGAGTAATGTTTTGAATATAGTAAACACTCAGCCAGTTTTTGTTAAAATACTTTGATCTGGACTTCCCAACAAAATGGGAAAACTTTGCAGGTGAACTGTGCTCAGAGCAGACACCAGGACTGGGAAGTGAAACAGGTCACCCTGAGACCACTTCTTACAAACTGCAAGTGATGCCTGTCTTCAGATGTAATCCCTCATCTTATGAGTTTGTCCCATTACCTGGCTCAGGCATCTGGAGAGAAGTTCCTTTCGCTTTTGTATAGCACAGCTGGGAAGTAGTCAGCCCGTAAGGAACAATCTTGGATACAGTATCTGCCACCTTAGACCAGTCAGTCAGAGGTGAAGATGTAATTGGGTTATTGCCAGGCTTCGAGGCACCTGTATTTTCAAGGGATTATGGATGATGTGTGTTTTTCAGAAATTAGACGACGCGGTTCCAAAGATCCCCTAGTGAAGGCCCTTCAGCTGCTTGACAGCCCTTGTGAGCCAGGGGAGACCGGCATGAAGTCAGAGACTTTGGCCAAAAGACAGAGTTCCAAGGACCTCCCGGGGAAGGCGCCACAGCTGTATGACACTCCCTACGAGCCTGCGGAAGGGGGCCCCAGGGCAGAGGGGAAAGGTCGGCCTGCAGACGGCCGGCTGCCGGAGAACGACGAGAGGCCAGCGGCCGAGTACGAGCAGCCCTGGGAGTGGAAGAAGGAGCAGATCGTGCGGGCGCTGTCAGGTGAGGCCCCCACACCCACGGGTCGGGCTTCCCAGCCAGGAGGCTCCACCCGCTCAGGCTTTTCAGCCAAGTGCATTTCTTTTTCTGCAAGTCTCTTTTTCCCAAGGAATTTGGGCTAGGGAAATAAGAATCTGGCTATGGTTGAAAGATCAGAACTGAAGTTGAGCCCTTCGTATTGCATTTATTTTTTTTGTCCTTACAGATACCTTTATTTTCCTTTCTTTTCTCAGTGTGTTACTGTTTTGGAAATGCCTTCAAGGACTATTGAAAAAACATAACTAGAAAAAATGTTCAAACAAAAAACAGCAAAAAAACAAAATAAAAAGCATAACTGATCACTGTACATTTATTTTCTCACCACTGAAGCTATCCAATTGGGAGCAGCTTTTTCTAACTCTTACTTGGTGCTACTTCTCAAACCTGTTAAAATCCCTATTTATAAGATGGCAGCACTGGATAAAATGGATTACAGGTAGAGGTGGTGGGAAAGCTTGATGAAGCTAGGTTTTTTTTGTTTTGTTTTGTTTTGTTTTCAAAAATCCTCCTGAAGGAATCAATTATTAAAGTGTGAATTTTTGTCTGGCCAGTTACTCAGTTGGTTAGAGCACAGTGTTATATCACCAAGGTCAAGGGTTCGAATCCCTGTACTAACCAGTGGCAAAAACAGAAAAAGTGAATTTTTATTTACTTATTTTTATTGAAACATAATTGATTATACATATTTGTGAGGTGCAGAGTTGACTGTCAGTATTTGTGTACGATATGTGATAATCAGATCAGGATTATTAGCATATTCATCATTACAAAAAATTATTCTTTGTGTTCATTACCCAATTTCTCCCTAACCCCCTTCTCCTTTTCCTGCCTCTAGTAACCATAATTCTGTTCTCCCCTTCTGAAAATTCAGCATATTATTATGGTCGTTGTTTCTTTCATTGCTTGTTTCTTTCTTTCCTTATTTTTTAGCTTCTACTTATGAGTGAGGACATGTGGTATTTCTCTTTCTGTGCCTGGCTTATTTCACTTAACATAGTTTTCTCCAAGCTCATCCATGTTGCTGCGAATGGCAGAATTTCATTCTTTTTATGGCAGAGTAGTATTCCGTTATGTAAATATATACCACATTTTCCTTATCCAGAAATGTGAATTTTTAAAATAATAAGAGAAAGTTGGTAAGTAGGTTGGCAATAGATATTAAAGGTAATTCTTCCTCCTGCTTCTCGAACCAGGACATAGTTTTTCTTTTTATTTTTTTTGTGACCGGTAAGGGGATCGCAACCCTTGGCTTGGTGTCGCCCGCACCGTGCTCAGCCAGCGAGTGCACCAGCCATCCTTATATAGGATCCGAAGCGCTCCCAAGCGCTGCACTCTCCTGAGTGCGCCACGGGGCCAGCCCCAGGACATAGTTTTTCTAATTGGCTAACCACATAATTTCTTTTGCCTTTAATTTAAAATTTTAGGGGTATCTGTTCCCTCTAACAGGAAAACCAGGTTTGCAATTAAAAATATAGCCAATGGTAAAAAGTAAATAGAGGGCCGGCCCAGTGGCACACTGCTACAGTGCACCGCTTGAGAGCGCAGCGGCGCTCCCGCCGAGGGTTTGGATCCCACGTACAGACCGGCCGCTCACTGGCTGAGCGAGGTGCAGGCGCAACACTGAGGGTTGCAATCCCGTGGCCAGTCCCGGTCCGGTACGGTAGCGACACTGAGGGTTGCAATCCGTTGCCGGTCACAAAAAAAGACAAAAAAAAAGGAAAAAAAAAAAGTAAATAGAGAAGGTAATATATTTGATAGCAAATATCTGAGTCAGTTTTTGTTTGACTTCAGTCTTGTTTTCAGCGAATATCTGTTGGGTACCTGCTGTTTTCTCGGTCCTATGCTAAATGCTGCTATTTTATCTGTTTATCTTCTGTCCAGACTAGATGTTGTAGCATCTTTAAGATGTTATTTGGTAGTTTTTCTTTCTGAGTTGATTTTTCCTTTTGTTTTATTATTTCAAAAGAAAACTGTTCATTTGGTTTCATAGAATGACATACACTTTTGCAAGAAATCATTACCTGTAACTATGTTCAATCGTTTGTTCAAAAAATACTAAAACTAAGAGCTTTAAAAAGACCATGCTGAGGGCCGGCCTGTGGCTCACTCGGGAGAGTGCGATGCTGATAACACCAAGGCCATGGGTTCGGATCCCATATGGGGATGGCCAGTTCGCTCACTGGCTGAGCGTGGTGCTGACAGCACCAAGTCAAGGGTTAAGATCCCCTTACCGGTCATCTTTAAATAAATAAATAAATAAATAAATAAATAAATAAATAAATAAATAAATAAATAAATAAATAAATAAATAAATAAATAAATAAATAAATAAATAAATAAATAAATAAATAAATAAATAAATAAATAAATAAATAAATAAATAAATAAATAAATAAATAAATAAATAAATAAATAAATAAATAAATAAATAAATAAATAAATAAATAAATAAATAAATAAATAAATAAATAAATAAATAAATAAATAAATAAATAAATAAATAAATAAATAAATAAATAAATAAATAAATAAATAAATAAATAAATAAATAAATAAATAAATAAATAAATAAATAAATAAATAAATAAATAAATAAATAAATAAATACATCTTTAAATAAATAAATAAATAAATAAATAAATAAATAAATAAATAAATAAATAAAATACCATGCTGATATATATTAAAGTGGTTTCCTCTGATATTCTAAAACTATTTTATATTGATGAATATCCTACAGAAAAAGTGGCTGTACGTGGGATACTGACAGTGTGGTCAGATATCAAAAGACAGCAGGAGCTCAGCTACCCAGGGTATTTTGCAGTATATTATAGCTTGCACTGAAAGGGAAAACTGCTTCTTTCTTGAGCTAATGCAGGCAAGGAGGGTTTTTGTTTGAAGTTTACATCGATCACTCCGTGGCCTCTGGTGTTAAATGGAGTCTTCTTTCCAGTCCAGTTTGAAGGATCTGATCGACCTTCTGGCAGGGAGGAGACAGTGAGGCAGCACCACCGGCAGAAGAGCTGGACCCAGAAGATCCTGAAGCCAGCCCTCTCTGATCACAGTGAGGGGGAGAAAGTGGACCCGGGCCTGGCCCTGGAGAAGCAGCCGTGAGTCTCCTCCACACATCTTTGTATCAATGGCTGGGAGCTCACTGACAGCCTGGTGGGGGGGGGTCCGTTTTACATGATTATTTTTGTTCATGAGTAGTTGTCTTGGGTGGGGCTTATTAATGAAAACCCGTCTTCAAAGCCTAGTGCATTTGTGCAGAGTGGGAATTGCACTGCCGCCCAGGAACCTTATTTTAAAATTCGTTCTCCTGTGCAGAGTGGAAACTTTTCACATGACACTAGCCCTGTTAACTCTTGTGTGATTGATAGGCTTTGTGAGGAGGCAGGATCACCCAAATCTGTATTTTGTCTATTTGGAATGTGAGTGTGAAGCAGGCTCTAGTTCAGACTGTCAAGCTTCTACCAAAAGTTCATGTCAAGTAACACTTTTTGGAGTGACACCCAGTCTGGATGTGTATTTTAACACTCACGGTACCCCTCTCCCCATTTTTCAGTTGGTATCATGGTGCCATTACCCGTGCTGAGGCTGAGAGTCGACTACAGCCCTGCAAAGAAGCTGGTTACCTGGTTCGAAATAGCGAGTCAGGGAACAGTAGGTACTCTATTGCACTAAAGTAAGTATTTAAGCTCCTTGGCCTTTCCTTGTCTCCAAGGGGAGGGTACAGTGTGACAGTCTTTCCTATCATGGGTAGGTGACCAGTCAAAAAAGATATAATTTTTTTCAAATTCTTTTTTATTTTCAAAACAGATACAATTGGAAGGTAATTCACAGGGGTATGTATTGCCAGAAAATAAGATGCATTTTCTTGGACAATAGAACGTGAAACACTGATTAGAATGCAAAATTGATATGGGGTAAATGCACCAATATCTATTACTATAGTGAGAGTCCTCTTTCATTATGATTTTACACTAGTCAATTTCTACCTTACATTTCTTCATCTGGAGTAGACACTCGCCATAGAGAAGTAATTCCTGATAAAGAGAATAATTTTTAGCAGGATAGTTCAGTCATGCTTTTATTTCCTAGTCACGGGGGCTTTAATAAATCAGATCTCTTGATTGTCAAAATGCCAACTGCAATTTTGATACCAGTTTCTTCTGGTGAAGAAGGAGATGCTGACTTGCTTATTCCTCCCCCTGTCTGATTGTGCACAGAAAATTCTCTTTTGCCTGGGAGGCCTGGCAGAGTGTGGATCATGGAAATTCTCATTGCTCTGTGAGCTCAGTGGCGCTATATTGGAGGATCATTGTCAAGAGCCCTAACAGCATTTCCTTCCTGAGGAAGCTGAGCCCCCACAGCTGAAACAATCAGACTGGAGGGGAAAAGAGGGGGGAGGAGGTGTTTGAGCAATATGGCTCAGAAAATGGGATAGGACACCAGATATACAATACCAGGAATAGCTCTGCTGTGTTCCTGAAATTGGTGCTTGTGGATTAAATCTTTGAGCCTTCGGTGCCAGCCGTCATTATATACAACCAGGAATGGTCATTCCAGATGGGAGGGGTGGGGGGAGCAAACAGTTTTTATTATGGTAATGATGATGATTATTCTTGTGTTGTTTTGGGAAAAAAAGGAGGAAGAAATCTTACTTTTTTTTTTTTTTAACCCGATGTTGAAAAGGGTGAGTTTAAACCACACCTTAGTAGCCTCAAGTTTGGGCTTAAGCACTAGTTTTGCAATTTGGGGGCAAGAGAGGGCTTGGCATTTTTTTTGTTTTCTTTTTGGTCCAGTACCTGGTGACTCATGTGTAATAAGGATAAGCAGAAAAAAAAGAAGGATAAGCAACTCAAGGATGACATGCATTTATGCTGTAAAATTCCTGAGAGCTCAGCTGGAGTGTTGAATGCATTTCTGTTTGTATAGAACAATTCCCGGAATGGATAAGAACCTATCAACCTATTGTGAATCTGTGGGGTGGGATCCTCTGCTTACTTATTCATGTCTCCTCCTTGATTTTTGTTTTGTTCCAGGACTAGTCAAGGATGTGTCCACATCATAGTGGCTCAGACCAAAGACAACAAATACACACTGAATCAGACGAGCGCTGTGTTTGACAGCATCCCGGAAGTGGTACACTATTATTCCAATGAAAAGTTGCCTTTCAAAGGTGCAGAACACATGACCTTACTCTACCCTGTGCACAACAAGCTTCACTAAGTGTCAGCTACAAAAAGCCCTGGGCCTCTGGCACCTAAGTGGGGATCAGCACAGCACCCCACCAGTCTCTCAGTGGACAAGGCTTGGCTGCTCCTTAATAACTGGAAGAAAGTGGGAATCTTCATTTAAAAGTCAAAAAGTCTTTGATCTTGAATCATTCCATGACAATTGGTTTCTGTCCCATGTCTCCTTGATAAGCAGTCCTATAGTAAGAAATCATAATTTATCTGTTGCCTCCAACTCTGGAATAGGGCATTCTATCTGGGGTATGACCCTCAGGAAAGGTAAGTCAGGAGTTCAGGAGCATCACCGTTCTCTGGAAGCGTGCTAGCTGTTACCTGGGATACCTGGTCTCTAAACAAACCAACAGAAAAACTGCTTGGCTTTTACGTGTAATTGTGTGGACCAGAAGAGCGTGTAATGTTGAACTCATTATTGGGGAAATGGATGCACAGTGGAAAATGTGAATGATGGGAAAGAGAGGTGTCTTTTGCCCTCAAGTGTCCTAATGCAGCTCTGGAGTTCATAGAAATTGACAACTTTAGGGTCTGGCAAAAAGATTATTTTGTTGATCAGCCTTCCTAAGAAAGTTTGTGCTTTCTCAATCTCTGTGAACTTTTTCATCATTGTTTAGCAAATCAGTGATGTAAGCCTACATAGGAAGGAAAATGTCCCACATTTAAGAATCATGAGTATAATTAAGCATTGGCATCATTATTATAATTCTGAATTATAGAATAAAATACACAACAAAGATTTCATTTTTAATTTTTAAAAATTCTGAAAATTTAACCAAGTTCAACAGCTATTTTCTTATTGGATAATTATATAGAACTTCTGATATCTGTTGTTTCATCTTTATACATTTTAGTTGCCATGGAATCGTTTTTAATTTTGTTTCTAAAATTAGATTTCCTTTTATTTTTAGTAAATTAAAACAAAAATACAAGACTGGCCTATGAGCTCAGTTGGTTAGAGCATGGGCTGATAACACCAGCAATGTCCAGCATTCTGTCCCTCTAACGGCCAGCCGCCAAAAGATATATATGTACACACACACACACGCACACGCACACGCACACACACACACACGCACACAACTCTGGGATCTGATTGTATGAACTTCATCTTTAAAGCCTGCACAGATTCTCTTTCTGTGCAGAGCAGTGCAGTTCACGCTGTACAAAAGTATTTTAAAAGACTTTGAGCTTTTCTCTAACTACTATTACTTGATACTAAATTAATATTCATAGTATTGTTATCTGTATGATTATCATGAACTTATATTGCCAGTTTACTTACTGTGAAAACAAAATGTGGGAATGGTGTACTGTGAGAAGAATTCTATGGTGAGTGGCTCTATAATTAAAACTGAACAGATGTTTCTGTACTCTGAGGTTTGTAATTTGTTTCTTGTAACTGGCCCAGATGCAAATGTGCTGTCATCAATGAAAAGTTAACTTTTGTAGCTTCTTTTAAATACACAAAAAAATGTTGATTTGGTTAATTTTTAGGAAACCATATCTTTCTAGTTATTAGTTATCATTTGACTATTGTGATTTAGAGGTTAGTAATTTTTTACTTCTTTATTCATTTAAGATCTTAGCCAAAGGGTAGTGTGTCCTTTGATTTAAAAAAATTTGAGAACAACTTTTTCTCACTGGAACACTATGATTTTATTAATAAAGAATATTGCTTTTTAAATATTGATAGAACTTTTAAAATGTGTTGGTTCATGTACTATATCTTTAGTACAAGATTTAAAAAATTTTTTTCAGCATTCATAGTTCCAATTCCATTCAACAAATATTTATTATCTTCTATATACAAATTATTCATTGTGTTAAACTTACGTTTAGTTCAGCATTCGGGAAACGAAACCTTATTTTTTACTTAAGCTTATTCTACAAAGTGAATACATAAGTTATCCTAATTTTAATAAATGCTAAAAGTTTTATAAAATTTTTCTCTGTGCACTAAATGATTTTTGACCCATACCCAGAAACTTTTATGAATGTATAATGAAATAACATTTTGAAAGCAGGGCTGATACTAAGTATTTATTGAGCTTCTATCGAATGCCCAGTATAATGCTTCCTCTATACTATTTTTCTGGGATAGTCATTCTATTTTCTTTATATAATTAAAAGTGGAGCAGATGTGGAGTTTATATATAGTCCAGTTAGTTTACAGTTGTACAGGAGGTTATAAGAAGAAATATAGTAAATTAGTGGAGGGGGAGGGCTGTTAAGCTACTATTTTCTTCTTAAGGTTGTGACACAAGCTGACAAAAGCCAGGGAATTCACAGCTGGGTGGTGGTACAAAGTACCATATGCTCTAAAAACAATTAGGCCCAGCAGGGTGTCCCTAATGGCTTCCTTGTTAAGCCTTCTGGGCCAGCTGATCTGAAGCTCTATGGCACGTGCTCTGAGCTCTGAATGCTTGGGCTTTTTGTTGTTTTGTCTTGATAAGTATTTTCCTGTAGTCTTCATGCTTTTGAGTTAATCCTATCTCCCAGAATATTTTCTGGCTTTTTCTGGAGAAAATAATGTCTTTTAGTGAAATGCCTTGAATTTACATCCATGGAGCTAGGTCTGTTTTCTTTTATCACCCCTCCTTTTTAAAAAAGGCTCTGCTCCAGGTTACTGGGTGAGTTTAGTTAGTTTTAGGTCTATAAGAACAGAAGGTAAAGGCCTTTCTATTTACCCTGATACCGTAACTATTTCTAACAGGATGGATTTCAACCTCTGGAGTTGTGTGTGTTTAAAGTAGGAATAAAATAATGGAGAAATGTTAATATGTATACAATAAGGTAAATATTGATATGTCTGCTGGGGGCAAAAGTGGCCTTTTAAGTTATTCAAAACACTTTCTTATGAAGCATTTACCAAAAAAAAGCCTTTATTCATTGCTGTTTAAAGTCTCTATACTTTGCTGGATTGGTATTAATTTATTGGCTTCTGCCACAGGGTGGGGAAGTAGGCAGATTAATCTACAGTGAAAGCCAGATGTTTTTGAGGCAGATGGGAAATAGTCCTAACTCGTTAATTAGATTATATAACTGTGTTAATACTCTGTTATTGGCTATTGTTATTGGATGCATCTTAATATTTAATTCAGAAGAACAACTATGAAACATTCTTAAGTTGCTTTTTAAAAGAGGGTGGCCTTTCTATCCTATTAAAATGCCCTTTTGTAGTCGAAGGTTAATGCTTCGTTTTTCCTTTAGTCTAGGGAGAAAACACCAGTGATGTCTAGATTTCATTTTCCTTCTCTGCATGCTTTTGATATTTAGCAGGATTTTATTCTTTTCTTACAGATAGCTCTCATTTATTAGTTGTCTCTGTCTTATTTGCCATAACCAGCACTAGTTTGGCCTTATGATCTCTTTAGAATCATTCTTCTTTATCCTAATTTCCAATATTCGTGCCTCGCTTATTTGGACTTAAGCTCACTGCAGGCCAAGTGTCTCTCCAACTTCCTCCTTCATTGAGGCGGGGAGGGGGGGGGGAACGGATCCTGTGTAAAGAAAGATGGTGTATTGCTGCCATCTAATGGAAAGAGAGCAAACTGCAGTTGAGAAAACAAGCTGTGCATTTAAGGGTAGGGCTTCTGAAGGAATTCTGAAACGGTCCATAAAGGGAAAAAATGATGACCTAGCAGTTGCCATTTTGAAATATGCCCTTTCCTACGGAAAGGGTGATTTGAAGCCTAATACAGTTACCTTGAGGCCCCTGGACTATGGCTGGATCATGTAGTTTAGAATCTTAAATTGTATTTTAATGAATGTGCTGGCAACAGATAATTGAGAGAGGCATCTCATTTGCCACGTTCTTAACCATTCAGTTATTTTGTCAGGGACTTTGCTATTTTAAATATCAACTAATACATAGTATTAACTTTTTAAAATATTTGAAGATTAATACAGGTGCCTATCTGTAGTGCTTTAGTAATTTATATCAGAAATATTTTATAAAATTTCTGGATGTTTTGCAGTAGCCAATATAGGTTGCATGCCCTGAAAATGGTTTACTCTGATATGTAACTTCAAATAAACATTATTCCATAAAAACTAGGGTTTTTTTGTTTAATTCTGTCAGTTTTGAGAATCACCTCCCTTCATAAAAGTACTTCCTGTGGTTAGGGCTTAACAGTTTCCTTTGCAGCCACTGTTAATGAAGTGTATAAACAAGCCATGATTGAATATAACTAGCAGACCTGATTTTTTTTCTCGGTTCACCTTGACAGCCTTCTATTATGTTTTCTTTCCCAAATAAAATAGTAATACAGTGAACTTTTACTCCTCTTTCCTTGGCCCACCTTCTTCCTGAGTGTTTTTCTTGTTGTTTTGGGAGCGTGGGCTGTGGCGGGCCAGTATGGGGATCCAAACCCTTTACTTGGTGTTGTCAGCACCGCGCTCTAACCAAGTGAGCTGACCAGCCAGCCCTTCTTCCTGAGTAGACCGTTATAGCATTTGTTCTCTTTCCTCCCTAGACTTCAGAATTACACTCTGTTTTTGTTATCACTGTTTCTTATTAATACAGATGCCTCCATCCCATCTGTGGGATTTGATGCTTTAAGTCTGTTGTGAACTGGGAAATCTGTATTTCTTAAAAATTCTACCAGATAATTTTTGTACACAGCCATGGCCAAGAACCACTTGTTGCAAGTTACTACTTAGAAATGCCCAAATAAATTCATTTGAGATCCTAGAAGAAAGGTATGCTGCTGAGTCTGATACCATATTTTTAATTTCCATTGCACACTTATATAAATTGCCACCAGGTGGAACAAGTGCCTACTCTTTTCCCATCTGTGTGTAGGAGAAAAGGAAGTTTGTATTGAGAAATGTTCCCCTCTGCCCCCAACTACAGCAATTAGAGTAATGGTTTTCAGAATTCAGATTGAACATATGTTTCTGAAAGCCCAGGGTTTGGGTTTTGAATGTTGGATTGTGACCCTGTGAAAGGCCATGATGTAAGTAATGAGAATAGACTTGCTACACACCAGGTGCTCTGCTGAACAAATGCTTTCCATTATACAGGATCTCATTTTAATCCTCCACAACTCAGTGAGCCAGGTGAGAGCCTCATTTTTCAGAAAAGGACACTGGCGCTTAGAACAATCAAATCACTTGTCCTGGGTCAGTCACATAGTAAGTGGTAGAGCCCAGATGGCAGCCCAGGTCTGATTCTAGAGTAGCTCTTAATTGTCCCTATGCTTTCCCTTTGAGAGAGTACTCCTGGCCTGCATGACCCTTCACATTTGAAGGACATTATTGGTCAAACTGGAGGGATTAAGGAGGGACTTAAAAAAAAAGAAAAGAAAAAACTAGGAGGAGGAGGAGTAATAAACTAGCCATTTGATTTTAGTTAGCAAGTGAAAAATAAAGTTTGAAAAAAAAATCCAGAATAGCCAAGAAGTGGAGGCAACTCAATTATCCATCCATGGATGAATGGATGAACAAAACCGGGTATGAACATGCAATAGAATATTCCTCAGCCTTAAAAGGGAAGGAAACTCCAGTACATGCTACAGCAAGGATGAACCTTGAGAACGTTATGCTAAGTGAAATGACAGTCACAAAAATGTCATTTCACTTATATGAGGTACCTAAAGTAGTCAAATTTACAGAGACAGGAAGTAGAATGGTGGGTGCCACAGGCTGGGGATGGGGGAATAGACTTATTGTTTAGAGAGTGCAGAGATTCTGTTCGGGATTATAAAAAAGTTCTGGAGATTGGTTACGTAACAATGTGGATGTAGGTAACACTATTGAACCACACACTTGGAGATGGTTAAGATGGTAACTTTTTTTGGGGGGGGGGGTCGCTGGCCTGTATGGGGATCTGAACCCCTGACCTTGGTGTTACAACACTGCATTCTAACCAACTGAACTGGCCAGCCAAGATGGTACATTTTATGTTACGGTTTTTTTTTGGAGGGGGGGTTGGCAGCTGGCCAGTACAGGGATTGAACCCTGGACCTTGGTGTTATCAGCACTTCACTCTAACCATCTGAGCCAACCAGCCCGTTATGGGTTTCTTACCACAGTTTTTAAAAAACCAGGATGCCAGTCTATTCTCTTACAGTGGAAATACATCTAGCCGACTGGACATTCAGGTTGCCGTGTGTGACCAATGTGTTCTCCCCCCAAAGATGAGCCACGTGGACTCACGGCAAAGGAAATAGGGATTAGGCTTGAGGTATCCACCTCCACCTCCAGGACAAGCCTGTACTGGGCCTGGCAATTCGTGTCTGTGGGCCTAGGCAGCCCTTCTGCTGCTTGGGAGAGGCTCCACCTATAGAACTGTATTCCAAAGTCAGGAATACAATTTAAGCTCAGATAATTAACATACAATTATACATTGAGATTTGCTCTGAGGCGTGAGGGTTATTTCCAAAATCCACAAGTAGCACCAGAATTACTTCCCCCACGTTATGAATCATATAGTATGTCCCTGTATTATCTTGATTTAAACTTAAAATGCTTTCTGCATGACATTTTTTAATGATTCAGATCGGCTTCGGATTTATTTGCATAAATAAACAGGATTACTAATTTGGACTAATTGAGGGAAAGATATATTATTTTTTGATATGCATATAAAAGCCAAGTAGTTTACCAAGGTATCAACCAGTGTGGTGTTAAGTAGAAAACATTTTACTTTAAAAGATAGTTAAGAAAGGTGTGTTTATATTCATTTTGAATTATTAGAAACTGTGTGTTTGCAAGTGAAACATTCCTCCTAACATCCCTGCACTTTTTAAAACAGAATTGCAAGCTTTTTTAGAGACTAGTCTAATGAACCAGCCAACTTCAACAATTATTACCTTGTAGCCAATTTTGTTTTGTCTATGATCCCCACCTACTTCTTACACTTTTTAATGAACAATTTTTCACAGATAGTAAAACAGAAGAGAACTATTCCAAAATAGAGGGATCATAATTGTTTAATAAAATTTTTTCTTTAATTGTAAAAACATAATGTTATGAAACAATTTTTAATGTACATAAAGGGGAAGAAAAGCAAATCTGGACTTCAGCAACTTCCTAAATGTCCTTAGAACATTGCAAAAGTGCTCAACACAGAGCAGGTGCAAGCCAGGCCTCTCCCTCCCCTCAGGCCCCTACCCTTGGACGCCATCCCTTGGGAGAGCTGTAACCCTCTTCCCCTGTCTTCACGTTCTGATTCCATATTTCCATCCCTGCTTTCCCTGACTCCTAGACCCGATTAGTCATTTGCTCCCAGAGATAGCATTTGCCTATTCATTGTGGGGCTTGCAGGGTGCATGGCTGGTCCTTGAGGAGGGCATTGCTTCCTGTTGCACCCCACGTCCAGCACCGTGGTCCAGCAATGTTCCGACTGAGCCTTTCCACCCAGAGAGAAGCACCATTCACAGTGTGGTGACCGGTCATCCTTCCAGAAGGAGTGGAGGTAATGAGGTTTCCACACCATAAACAAAGCACAATTTGAGATTTGGGGGGAAGTTCATTAAAGTTTATACCAAGGAACAGCAAGAGAAAACCAAATTATTCACGCACAGCCCAGAGGGGTGGATAACTATAGATGGAGGGACCTGGCAGGAACTGGTTGCCACCCCTCCCCTTCGTGACCTCCTTTGTGGTCTGGCTGCCTTAGGCCCACCCATGTGAGTCCCTGGGCCCTTGTGGTGGTCTCAGCTTGCAGCCCCAGCTCACACTAATAGGAATCCATGTTTCTCTCCCTTGGGGTGAGTGGGCCAGGCCCCCACTCAGCACAGGGTGAGGGCACCTGGCCTGGGAAAGGGGTGGGTAACAGAGGTCATCGAGAAAGGGAGAAACCAAAGCAGTTCTTTCCATTTTCTGACTCCTATGCCCACTCCTCTCCACAGCCCACACAGTGCAACCACCAGGGGGACATCTGGCTCCTGAATCGCTTTCTTCAAGACAAGGATCAACCCTAGAGGAGGAGAACATGGTGTCCTGAAGCAGGCAATGGGTCCTGCGGCTTTCCTCTGGGCTTTGCCCAGGAGGGAGCCAAGCAGTGGGTGTCTCACACTTTAGTCTGAGTTACATAATTTCCAGGCTTCCCTGTGGGTTCCTCCTCCCCAGCTCTGAACTGTTTACACGGCAACTCCTACCCACAAAGCATCCCCACGATGGCTTTTCCTGTTCGGAAGATATGGATGGCTGTGTCCCAAGTTTCTCCTACCTAAGACCCTTTTCAACAGGGGACAGATTCAGCCTATCTGGTGACCAAGAGCCCAGGGTGGCCTTTGTCATACCATTCGCCCCCCACCCCAGTCCAATAAACAGTCTTTTGATAAATAATGGCCATTCCTGTTCCTTCCCCTCAAGTTCATCATGTGGTAACATCCTTTCCAGAAATCCCAGGACTCGTTTTGGGAAGTACTTTCATAATTAAAGCCTTTTGAGAAATTTCTACTTCTTTCTTAAACATATCTGATTATTTTCCAGAGTTGCTTTAATGCTGCATTAATGGGAGGCCCCCCCCCAAAATGGTCCTGTTTAATTACCCATCCTTTCTCCTCATTAATTATGCAAGTCTTTCCTTTAAATGACACAGATGCCCAAAGCATTACACCAAGTATATTTCTAGAAATTATTTATTTCAAACATTTACAATTTTTACTTTAAATGCAAAATAGCTGGTAAAAAGAAAAAACATTGAAAAACATATACTGACACTTTGCCCCATATACAGACATCAGCTTTTCAGGTAATTAGGTTTAAGAAAAAAAAAATGCTTAAAACTATTATTTCTCTCCAAAAAAACAATATAGAGTTGAGGTATTCTATTAAACAGATGCGATCTCCATCCAGTAAGGTCTCCCTATTACTAACAGCCTTGCCACATGCTGTTCCAATCCTTTCCTTCTAAAGTAGATCCGCCTTTGAGCATATGTTCATAAAACTGACAATGTTCCTTAATAATCATTAAGGTTGCCATAGAAACTCCCCAGAGCTGGCACCTGGCCACACTGAGGACACCAGGCTGGAAGGACCATTAGGGGATGCTCAGGAGTGTCTGGCACAGAACTGGAGCCTGCCCCCCAACTACCCCCCAAGCAACAGCCCCACAGCCAACCGCTGTGTGGGAAAGTTGGGTGTGGGGCTCATGCCCCAAAGGATCATGAGTTACCCCTGCATCTCCAAATTAAGGCGGATTTCTCACCAACCCCACCTGGAGATGGGTGTCAGAATCCTCCCCAACTGGGTCGGTCTTAAGGACCTGCATTGAGATGATACAGTTCAGCACCAAAGTGGCTGGGCAAGACATTCCTGAACATTCTTCAGGAAACCCACAAACCATGACCATGCCCAGGCTGCTCTGCTGGGTTCTGTTCACGACCAGGTGGGCTCCCAACCTGGTTCCATTAGCAGATTCCACACCTTGCCATGGTGACCAATTTCCTTCCTCCCAAGACAGCAGGGAAATGGCAGACTCAGTGTGACCTTGGAGCCTAGCAAACCAACTGCAAAGGCAAGGCCCCATCCAAGCAAAGAGCTCTAAGTGACCAAAGACCTCACAGACACAGCCAATGCTGCTCCTTTGACATATTTTTTAGGGTTCGAATCTCCACACCGGCCAGCCGCCAAAAAAAGAAAAAACAAAATTTTTTTTAATATTTCATTAATGCTGCAAGAATTCATCATCACTGCAATTTAGACCTCAAACCAACCTGTTTTCGACTTCTCCCACCCAGCAGGATGAGTAGTCATGTTTACCCAATTGTCCAGCATTTCATGTCCAGCCGTGTGGCAGATGGCTACCGGTGTCAGAAGCGTAACAGCACTATTGAAGACACAAGGCAGCACACGAGCTGCAGAAACAGACACATGTTCAGTCGCCACAGATTTGAGGTCGGAGAAAGCTTAGGGTATACACCTGTGTGCACTGAGCAAGGCCTACAGCCCAGAGAAAACAAATACTTTTCCTTCATTTATACTAGCTTATAAAAATAAAGGGAAAAAAACCCTCTTCAATACAAAAAAGAAAAAGGCAGTTCCGTTACAATAATAATGAAAGCAATAACAATTTGAAGATCAAAGCTGCCTTGCCCTCAGTGATTACGAGCTATCTGGATTTCACATCTTCTGCTAGCACGGCTCTGCCTAGCTTTGGTAATATCACATTTGGGTAAAACAGTGTAAAGAATTAAAGAATCGTGGGCACAGAATCACCCTTTCTCATGCAGATTCTCATTTCTAATATTTCCCTTTAACAGCATTTTTGCTGTTCTGAAGTCTCAGAAATGTTATAGAGAAAAGAAAAACAAAACTACAAACACCTGCCTGAATTTTGCCACCTTAACATGAGTTGTCTAAAGCAGCAGCAGGGTCTAAAACGTACAAAGGCAGTAGTGAAAATCACTACTTGCTCAAAATAGTAACAGCCTGAATCCGGCAAACAGTAAATAAAACACGGTTGTTTCCATCCTTTTGCACCTGACTGGTGGTGGTGGTGGTTGTTTTTCTAAAAGAGTAGACTACTAGAAAAATTTTGTGGTCTGGTACATTTTGGGTCCGTGCTTACAAGATTGATTTTAATCACAGCTCCACTCTGGGATACCCCAAAACATGAGGGTACCTGTCTGGGTAACCACTAACATGGCTGAATTTTCAAAGCCCGGACAGAATCAGCTGAAGGAGTTAGTCACAGTGTCTTGGTGCTTCAATACTAGCTGAACTGAATCAAACTCGAAGAACTAAATAAAAAGAGGAAGACACCACGGTAAGGGATTTTTTTACTGAGCCCTTTGATAAAACAGGGCTCAGGCTTTCAGGGGTGGGGAATTTCTAGGACCTGCCTGGTGCATGGGGGCGGCTGGCTTCCCAGCACTGCCACCCGGAACGGCCACCCTCGTAGTCACGGCTGCCTTTCCCCTAAATGAGAGAAGACGCAGATTATTTTTTCACTTTTGAAGACAAAGACGAAATACAGAATGAAATCAGAATATCTTCTCTGATAGGGGAAAATATTTGCTTCTCCTCCTCCTTTTGCACTTGATTCAGTTTTGTGCTAAACAAAGTTATTGTGCTCCCTGCCCTGCCCCCAAGTTATTTATATACCAGACACTCAGCCACACTGAGGCTTCCACCCTCTCAAGAGAAAATCGTCAGCAGTTTTTTGAAAACCAAATTAAAATGCATTCTTGCCGGGTTCTTTTTTCTTTTCACATCAATATTATCTTCCCTAGTTACTCAGGTTCAGTTGAAAACAAAATAACGTTGGAGAAAAACAGTTTTGGTCTCGGCAGAAGCCCCCTCTACTGCCAGCTGTCCTTTGGGGGAGGTGGGGGGACGGAGAACATTGGCTTTCAGAGGCTGAGGTGTCCCTCAGCTCTGCTACTACAGGCGACTGTGGAGACCTTGTCCCACTCCCTTCCCTCCCCTCTGCTTCTCTCCTCCTGAAGCCCTGGGATGCAAAGAGGGAAATCAAGCCAGTGTAGTTGCTTCTATATCCGGCAAATGCCTAGGATTGTCATTCACATTTAGCAAAATGCTAATGAGGAACTAATTATCATTCCATTTAAAACCATCAGGCCCTGAGATATTATTCACCACCACACCACCACCATCACCACCGCCGCCGCTGCTGTTTTGAAGTGTGGGGAAGAAAGGCAGGAGAAAGCTTCTTCCTCCAGCCTCAGTGGTTGATGGAAAAGCTGTGCTCAGGCCTAGAAAAATGGATTTGCGAAGGCACTCGGGTTTTATGAGTCTGCGCTTAGAAGATGAGACGGTGCAGTGGGCCAGGAGCTAGGCAACGGGGGAAGCCTTTGGCTGGAAATGCACCCCACCTGCCTGAGGGTGCAGCTTGTGGGGATGGGAGAAAGGGCGTGGGCGGCCAGTGGCTTCTCCACACCAAGGCCTCCCCAGCTGCCCCGCTCTGCCCACCTGAGTGCCTGAGAGTCTTGACACGGCTCTCATCATGGTGGCTTGAGTTCACTCTACCCCTTGAAGCAGAACATTTGGGAAGGCAGGTTTGAAAACTCAACCTCTTCTTCGTTCTGAACAGAGGCAGCAAACCAATTTTCACCCAGTGTAGGTTTTTCTGTAACCGTGAGGCCCAAGGCCCCAGGCCCCTGAGATGAGCTGGAATGGCAGTGAGAAGCAGCTTTCGCTAAGCCAGCTTGTGCTCGGGCATCACACGGTCCAGCACATCTGACAGCCAACCCGTCAGCTATCTGGGGAAGAAGTAGTCTTTGTTGCTGATGTCATAAGGGCTCCGTGGGTCTCTGGCATCTGGCCGGCTGTGGCTTGAGGTGTTGTCAGACCCAAGGCTGCTGGGGGACACTGGCGGGGAGATGAGGGGAACAAGCACTGGGGTGGGCTTGGGCCTCTCGGGGACCAGCTGCCCCAAAGTATACGGCGGGTGCATGCTCATCTTGCCTTCTTTCAGAGCCCGCAACTTCCACGTCTTCTTGAACCTTCACACAGACACAAAGACAAACCACACAGATGTTCAGTTACCCTGTGATGAACCCACAGTGAAAAACACCAACAGCTGGCCGCCCTAGTGGCCTGGCGCTCCCAGGTTTCAGCTCAAAGCAGTGATCAGCTTATCCCATCAGCTGTTCATTGTCACCAGGGATTTCACAATACTCTGAAAAGGTGGTGAGTTTCAAAAACGCCCAGAGAAAATCAGCATATATCGTTGGTCCAATTTACAAGTGGGGGAACTAAAGCATCCGTGACCACAAGTGTCCCTTTTATAGCACTGAAAAGTCTCTTGACAATCCCTTAATCGGTCCTGTTCCAGAGGCTGCTCATTAGGTACACGTCATCAACCCCAAATCCATTTACTTAAAAAGAGAAAGAGAAAGAGGAGTAGGGAAGGAGACTGCCATTAAATAGCAGGGAAAGCACCGCACTGCTTCCTGCACTGTCCTCCTCTTGCTTCCAATACTCCACGCTCCCCAGTTCTCCCTCCGCCTCTGGGTCCATTCCCTCCATGCTGGAGAGTCCTCACAGACTCAACCGTGGGCACCACTGGGCACAAGGTGACTCATCTGACAGGAAAGTCAATGTTAAACAGGAAGGAGATAGACATCTCTCTGATCACAGCTTCGTTCACAGTGCTCCACTCTGGGCCCAAAGCCAGGGCTCGGTAACTGAGAAAAGTCACTTGACAGCCCAAAGAAAGATGAGCTGGTGATACTGATCTTCAAAGGTACAGTCAGGTCTCCTCCTGAAGAGGCCCTTCAACTGTGCTGGGGCAGCCAGGGCCCCCAGCCTCATCTCCTCCGTCTTGCTTCCCACTTTGTGACTGACTGATTGCCTACAAACCCAGAAGTGGGAGCAAGGTAGCCTCCCTTGACTCCATCAAATGTTGGTTACTCCAGGAAGGGCCGTAAGGGAGAAAGGGAAACCTATGTCAGAAACAGTATTTGGAGATTTTCCTTGGGTTTCTTTTTATATCGACAGGCTATTCCTGTCCTTGTTATGATAAATAATTGATAGTTGGCTCCGAATCTGCCACTGGCCCTTAGCCTGTTAGCCAAAAGGAATAAACAATCTGCAGAATGTTACTTAAGGCTTCACCACTTGGACACTACACGGGAAGAGAACCCAGCAGGAGTGCTTACTGGAGCTATGCTGAATCCTTGAGTGGAATTCTTCTCCCCTATGAGAGGACTGAAGGATGCTCTGGATTTCAAAACATTCAGACCCTCTGACCCAGGAATTCCACTTTTGGGAATGAAATAATACCCTAATGAAATAACATAGCTATGGAAAAAGCTTTATGCACAAAGACGTTCAACACAGTGTTGTTTATAAAAGCAAAACAACAACCAAATGCCCAATAATAGGTTGGTTAAGTGAACTTGGGTATATATCCACCTCATAGAGGAGTCTGCGACTACTTGAAAGTGAGGTTTACAAAGGATTTGTAATAATGTGAAAAAATGCTTACATTATAATGTTAAATTTAAAAAGTAGGATTTAGAGTTGTAGATACAGAATAATCACAGCTATGTAAAAATAAACAAGAAAGTATGCAGAGGAAAAAGACTCAGCCGAAATTCATCTAAATATTAAGTGTTCTTGACCTGGGTGTTGATTACATGGGTGTGTTCACTTTGTGGAAATTCATGGAGCTGTACACTTAATGACATGTGCACATTTCTGTATGTTTGTGAGACTTCAATCACATTTACATTTTTTTTTTTAAAAGATGACTGGTAAGAGGATCTTAACCCTTGACTTGGTGTTGTCAGCACCACACTCACCCGATGAGCTAACCGGCCATCCCTATATGGGATCCGAACCCGGGGCCTTGGTGTTATCAGCACCGCACTCTCCCGAGTGAGCCGCGGGCTGGCCCAATCACATTTACATTTTAAAAATTAACGTGGCTGGATATGATATTTTTCTTCTACTTGTCAGTATTTAGCAAATTACCTATAATAATCATATCACACACATAACATGCACACTCACATACACACACATTTTTTTAAGTCCCTACTGGCTTCATTTAATCAATACGGAAGCAATCTCTGTCCTCAGTTTTTTTTAGAGCAACTGGAAGAGTAACCAAGAAAGGTGAGCTTTCCTTTGAAATATTTTGAGGAGAGAATGAAATCCTTTCTGAAAATCGCTAAGCTCAAAGGGGCCTTTGAAACCAGCCAGCCTGGGGGGAGTCCACAGCTGGCACAGACGGGTATGCGCAGGGCTGGGGGTCAGAGGGGTTGTGGGGCATGTAGAAGGAAGAAACAGCTGAGCTATCGGCCTTTACTTGCACCTTGACCTCCACCTTTTGTCTATTTTATATATTTGGGCTTCATAAAGTTTTAAGGAAAAGGTCCTATAACTAAAAGAAGTCTTTAAAACATTTATAATAACTCTCACTCTTTTTAAAAAATCAGATGTAGAAACTAAGACCCTCTCAGGGCTACAGAGAGTACCCACTGTACCCAGCCACTTTCACAGCCCAGGACACCATGAAAGTCCCTGTGCCCCTCACCGCAGAGGTGAGAGTCTGTGATTTTAAAATATTGGAATGGGACACTATATTAAATACAAAATGATTGTTAAGTCATAGGCATACACATAGGAAGCCCTCACTTAATAGCATAAGTCCATTCCACATAAGTGTGCAGAAAAATAATTCTGTTAGAAGAATCCTATTTTCCCAGTTCCTGATAGCATAAAATAGAATCAGTGGGGGGCTGGAAGAATTGGCCCCTGTAAGTCGTAACATTCACTTAAGATGACAAACCTTTTTAAACAGCACATTTAAATTTTTAAAAATTATCACTGATATTGCTGGAAAAATATTTAGGAAAACACTATGCTCAGGAGACAAAATAAATGCTCTAAACAAAAAAGTACAGTATCATAGACTGGCAGGATGGATGTTGCTGTAGATTGGATGCCCCCCAACCTTATTGAGGCTTAATCCCCACTGTTAACTGTTGAGGGTGGGAAGTCCTATTATGGTAATTGAAAGGTGGGGCCTTGAAGAGCTGATTAGATTCTGAGGGCCTTAAAAGGGCACATGAGAGGTTAGTCTCTCTCTGCTTCCATCATCTTGCAATGTGAGACCCTTGGGTCACTGTCACTACTACCAGATATGTTCCTTGGACTTTGGACTTCCCTGCCTCAGAAACTGTGAGCAATAAATTTTGTTTTCTCATAAATCATGCAGTTCTAGGTATTTTGTTATAAGCAACAGAAATAGATTAATACAGATGTCAACCTGCCTCTCATACTCTACCTATTGTAAATGTGGCCATCCCAACAGTCACCGTGGTTCAGCCTTTTTTTTTTTTTTTTT